TATGTTTTTTGCTCCATACACTTTTTTCATCCGTTTTCAGCAGCGGTCGTGATCCTAGAGCATCCTGTGCTGAGCCTGGTAGAAATTTTACCAAGTGTTATATGGACCGAATGGATGATCGCAGTTGTTTCCTGCTTTTTGGTACGGGTAGCTTTGCTATCGCGCCAATTTTTCTAATGAGTGGTTTTGACCCTTCTCTATTAATGTTGAATCTTAGTCACTCTATGTTCCTTTTCATAGTTCGGCATTTCGCTAAAATCAGGAAAAAATTGATGGAAATCTAGTTTTTGAAGACAAGATTCTCTGCTCTCCACGTGTTCCACGATTTCTACGTGTTTTCCACGATCGCCTTTAGTGACTATTCGGATATCATCTAAGAAACAGTACGTACCCTGAAGCCCTGATAAAATCTTATCTAGCGCCTGTTGAAACCTAGCCGCCTTGTCGGTCAATCCGTAAAAAGCCACCTAGAATTGGTAAAGCCGAAAAGCCTGGTAGCGTTTCCCCCACTTTGCTTAAATTAGTACGGGATTTGATTGTAAAATCTAATGGTTGCTGTGAGATTGCTTATTTCAGTCCGAACTTGGAAAAACAGAGTGTCGGCTTATTCGATCGGGTAAATTGTTGGCAAAACATTAGTATGGTAATTTTAGGCATCTGGTAAACATTTTTTTGTGTGGCTTTGTTCTAAACTGTAAAATCTAGTGCAAATTGTTTAGATAATACACCTTCAACTATAATAATAATAGCTAAACGAAACTTTTATTCGGACATCTATAAAGTTTTTTATGTGTTTATGTTTTCTGGGCTGTCTAATTTTTTGTGATTTCTCTTGCAAGTTGATTGTGATGCGCTTACCATTTTTCATGCGTAGCTGTGAATGAAGAAGTTAGTTGCCAATCTTAGCCATGTAAGCAACCCATTGAATTTTTTAGCTAGATTCACTTTTAAACCACAATCTGCTAAAGAGGTTTCTACGATCGTTGCTTGCCAACCGGCCGATTGTAGGCTTAGGTCCACGATCTATGTCCAATAGGTTTTAATGGCTTCATGGTTAGATATAGTGGCCACACTCACATTAGTTGCTATGAATAAAAATTCTAGGTCCCCGATTGTAATTCCAATCATGCGCCCCATGAATTAAATCCTTGTTTGAAACCCAATTTTTGTTGGTCTGATTCATTGGATAAAATGCAACATTTTTTATCTTCTAAAGAAGAATGCGCGTACAATTGTAGATCGGCAACGGTTTCATCATGTCAAAAACACAGGATAAAACTTCGGTATCCGAGCCCCGGTTGCCATTGTCGATAAGGATCGCTGGTCTACTATTTAATTTGTAGACTGCCGTTTATTCTCCAGTGTTTTTTCGATCGACAAATTTGAGGTAACTGATTATTGCTCCGCAGCTGCTACAAAACTTTCCTATTGCAGAGCAAGTTTCTTTATGCGTGCGGTCACATTGTAGTCTATATTCTCCGCACAAATTTGTAATCTCTGATCGTGATCATTGTTGCTACTGTCTCGGGTTGATCAGTCTCCCTATTATCATCAACATAGGAATTTTTTTGTGCTTTCTGCATGGATTTTTCTAGATTTTGGCTGTTAGTGTTTTGAAGAAATGCCAATTCTTTTCCATCATTTTCTAATGGAATAATGCCGTATACGTGGTAAGGGTCTAACGCTTTTGTAAGAAAACCCTTTTGCATATCCGAAGTTGCGAGATTGAGTGTGAACAAATCTCGTATTTAAATGTCCTCCGATAAGCCCTCTTCGCAAAATTGTTCCAAGTTCCAAAAAGTTGTACGGAATTTTTATTATGACTCAATCCGCGCCAAATTTTTTAAAAACAGCGTGAATATGTCGAAATGTTTGTTTTTCCAATGGGATTTGAATGTTTCTTCAGCATATTCCACAGTCAGATGCGAGTTGCGCCAGTTTTGCTTGCATAAGATCTTCCAGATCAAACCTCTGATCGTAACATTGTTGTTTTTGTCTGATCGTGATCGTTGATCTTCTTGTTTCGGGTGCTCGGTCTCCCTCTTATTATCAACATGGGAAGTTTCTTGTGATTCCTGGAAAGAGTTTCTTAGAATTTGGGTGTTAGTACTTAGAGTTTTTGCTATTTCTTTCCCATCATTTCCTAATTGATCGCAAATTCTATACGTGGTAAGGGGTCTAACGTTTCTTTAGGAAACCATTTTGCATATCCGTAGTTGCGAGATTAAATGTGAACATATCTCGTAATTAAAAACCCTCCGGTGTGCCTACTTCGCAAAATTGTTCTAAGATCCAAAGACATGTACGGAATATTTCATATGACGCATTCCACCCCTGTTTTCTAGAAAACAGCGTAAATATGTCAAATTCCCTGTTTTTCGAAAGGTTTTGAACGTATTTTCAGCATATTATACAGTCAGAGGGTTAAAACCCTTTGTTCCGTTATTTGAATATCCTATGGCTTTAATACGTGAGCATTCATTTTCCCATTTGTAAATCAACACTAAGCGTTGCACTCTCTGTTATCTAATTGCTGATTGTTCGGGTGTGCATGTTACTGTTTATAAATAGGTTGCTCGGGGACTGCGAGTTTTGTCATTTTTTCTTGCAGATCTTCCAGATCAAAACGAGTTTTACTGATGATGGCTAAAATGACATGCTGTTCCTTTTTTCCCACTTTACCAGTGGTTTTTGTATAGGTCGTTCCCAGAATGCACTAACCCCGAAAAGCTTTTCCTTTTGAGGGCCGCATCATGTGGCCAGAAATTTATGAAGTGTACGCTAAAAACTGAAATTTATTACCCGTGGTCTCCTTTGCTAAGGGCATCTCTACAGACAAAATGAGAAATCAAACCAAAATCGATTAAGATGAAGTGAATCATGTGAACTTTAAATAGACTTGAAGCTAGGCTAGTGTAAATCTCAACACCAAAGATCAAATTCCAAATAAAATGTTGCTTTGAGCACGACCTGTCTGTTTGGCATTCACCCTTAAATCGATTTTCTGCTGTAAGACACATTCATGATTTAAAACATCTCGCATGTATTTAATTGCCTTATTCGTCTGGTGAGGTACTCCATATATGTCTCATTTATACTCCATACAAGTCAGCAATTTTCCAATTTTACAATTTTAATTTAATCCGATCAAGTTTGAAAGGGGAAACAAAGCTTGAGCGTTAACGTGTACAGCTGTTAAAATTTGTTGGGGAATTCAAGAAACTTTTTTGGAGGAGGAAAAATCAGAATTGTTCATGTTATTGTAGTTCCTAGCAAAACGTAAAGGAATGAGCTCTTCCCAAGCAAGAACATCTACGATCTAATTATCAAAACATAACGAATAGCGTTTTAGATAAGTGCGTAGCAAACATGCCAAACGTCGTAATTGAGAGCTGCGGAGACTTTGGATTTGCGCTACAGACTATCGGGGACATCGAAATTCCCTTTAAACTTCAGACAACTCTGGGGGAGAACTTTTTTTTGGGTCAAGACCTGAGGCTGGCTGTAGAATTACACACCAATTTTGTATTGCCAACTTAGTCATATCTGGACATTTATCTAGTTTACAACTCAATTTAATTTGGAAAAATGTTGTAGTGCTGGATAAAACGCCACGCGTAAATAAAGCACCTTTTACTTACAGCATCAAACATAAAACCAGCATTAGTTTGGATCAGTTCGCTGCGATCGTTAAGTGTTAGTGTAGCGATGAGCGCAAATTTTCTGTGAACACGTAGATCCAGAGCTCGGTCCCCGAAAGAGAACGAAAAAAAAACACCACTCCTAGCATACGTAATCCTCACTTTCTTCAAAAGTCATAACAGCAAGGATTTTGGTTGTTACGCGAGCTTAAAACACAACAAGACTGCTCGTATCAGGGCGAAGCCCTGAATGTTCCGACTGCCTTTTAAAGTTTATGGAGCAGTAGGAACATTAAAAATGTTAATTAATTTTAAAAAAAAAATTTTTCTTCTAAAATTTGATTTTTTTAAAATGAAAATCATTCCCCCACACGCCATATAAAGTACAAAAGGATAGATTTCGCTCCTTGTAACAAACCAATTATGGCAAATAAGCTTCTTTCAACCAATTTACCAATTTGGAACGATTTCTAAGACGGATTAAATCTCCGCTTACGCCTTAAGAGCGCGAAATATATCGCTCGTTAATTGTCCCAAATTGGCCAAGATGGCAATCTTTAAACCCCCATAACTTTATGAAAAATGATCATGGGTGAAATATCTTTTCAAATTTAAGCTCAGAACAACAATACCTTTTGAATGATATTAAAATTTTCCGGCTAAAATAGTCAAAGTTTGTTTGAAAAAAAAAACCCGCCCCGAGCACAAATATTCCGTTACTTTCGTATCGAAAGTCGGGACAATAGGGATTAATTTTTGAAAGACTAATTAAAGAAACCAATAAGGATAGCAAGTAGCACATAATTTTCCGACAATAGTCTTAAAAAACAACATTTTTTTTCATTAGTGCCGTTTTTTTCTGAGTGGTGTGATGAAAGGATCTGAAAGGAAAGCTAGAGCTTAGGTATGTTCGACAGTCGAATTTTTTTTATTCCAAAAGACGCTAAAAGTTTTGAAGCTTTAAATTGGGCTATCGTAAAATATTAAGCCTGCTCGCTCGCTTTATTCGCTCGAAATAGGACTGAAAATTAAAACTTTTCAACCTGATTTTCTCAATACTGGGACAATTTTTTGAAAATTTTTTGATGTTCGAATCACAGCTGTCAGGGCTTTAATATGACATTTCACACGACCCATACCATTAACTACTTGTGGTTACCTGATTTTGCGTTGAAAACAAAACAACTAAACAAACCCGAACACAAAGTTCCTCCACACTTTTCAAATGATCGGAACAAAAAGTTTTGGCTCAAGTTCAGTATATGTCGGCGCCATATTATGCACTACTGGAATGAAAAAAAAAGTTTCGTATTGCGATACGTTTTTTCCATCTCAAATGATTTGTTGATTATGTTTTAGACCCGTTCATTTCTTCCCTGGAAAAGATCATTGTGTTAACTAGAAATCCTTTGCGAAGCTCCTTGGCTCAATTTGCCCGGTCACGAGTGAAGATAATGAATGCTCCCGCGTATTTAAAACTTCTTATCATACAATTTCTGTAAAAAGTTTTGTCGTATTTTCTATATAATTTCAGTACGTGCATATAGTTTTTTATTTCTGTGTTATTTCTCAGAACGTAGCAAACCAAAGATTTTCTCAAATAAAAATCCACTGCTGTGGCAATAATCTTAGAGATGCAGTGCACTATGAGATTTGCCATTTAAGAAAACGCATTTATTTTCACACAGAACTTTAAGTAGAACTCAATTTCGTAATTTTTGTTTTGAAAAATACTTTATGTAGCGATGTAAGCAAATGCAAATCAGATACATTGTATTCATTGAACTTTTACGATAAGCACTTCTGCCATAGATTTCAAATATGGAGTTTTATCGTAAGCACCTTTGCGGCAAGAAATTGTATGATAAGTATTTCTTATGTATGAAGGTCAGCCAGGGCGTTCACATCGAAAGATCATTTTCTGGAAGTTAGTGGCCGTGAAAATCAATTCAAAGGGCAGTTTGATTCCATTTTAAAATCTCAGACCGAAAGAACGATAAAACTTACAGAATACGGGAAGCCAATGTTGATCATTTCTTACGAAGATTTGATGGAAAATCTACATTTGCAGCTTCTGAGAATTGCACATTTCCTCGAATTGGACAATGACGCTACTGTATGGCAGAGATCTTTTTGTGCTGTGTTAGACGCTAACTCAAATACAGGAAAACGACAGCAAAAAGTTGATTTGGGCGAGGAAGCCTTGAATCTCATCAACAGAACCAGTGCATACAACATTTTGGATGATTTTGACAAGAAGTTAAGAATGATCAAGCTTCACTATTTGAGGCCGCAAGATTACCCTGCTTAGGGGCGGAATTTTTGGGAAAATAAACAGCAATGCTGCTTTAGGGGGTAAATGTGGATTTTGGACGCACTGTGTTAATCATACACTGTTTTGAAATTTTTCTTTACAAACAGTTTTGGCCTCTTTTCTTTATATTTCACTCATTACGAGGCCAAACTGTGCACTATAGACAGGCGCACAATTTTGTGTGTGCATGTTTCTGGATTCCAGAGACAAGTCGTTAAACACTATTCAAATTTTGTCTAAACTGTTGAAATTTTATCGGAACTATCAAAGAAAATGAAAGAACAAAAGAACAAAGGGAGCGTCCTGGTTGCGGAATATGCTCAAAATTCACAAATGCACAGTTTGGCCTCGTAATGCACCCTCGTCAATTCTGGTTGCCAAACTTTTGCGAAAAACTTCCCTCTTTGGTAAAATTTTACATCCATTTGCGCCATTAACGAGAGAGCATTTTTTTATAGAAAAAAAATTACTTTGCTGCTAAGAAGAAAATTGTGGTTTCAGTGTTTTTCGGAAACCACTGAAAAGGGTTTCACTTTTTAGGTGATTTCTGAAAAGCAACTTGCTCACCCAACCCCTCGAGAGAAAATTCTCCCCTCACGCTCCAGAATATTCTAGATCCGCCCTGATGGTCTGATCTCATATTTTAGACAGCTAAGTGATTTACTCAGCTCAGGGGAATCTCAAAAGTTGTTTCTAAAGATTTTCAAAGTTTTTAAAGTATCTGTAAAAATTGTACAAGCTTGTAAAAACTCGATGCTAACATAATAACGATGAAAACAATCATCCTGCTTTAGACCTCCTACTAGACAAATGGGTAAAAGAAATTTTCAAGTGTACAGATCAACATATTTTCAAGTCAGTAAAAAATTGCGATAGACAATGTTTTCTTTAAATTGGTGAAAATGCTTTAGAGTTTAGGAAAAATAGAAAAGCTGAAACGCTAAGTGAGACCATTGACCTAGGGTAAGTTTAATTGGTGGTCATCAAGATTTTAAAAATTCAAAACAGCAAGTTATAAGCGTGCACACTATATGCGTCAAAAAGGTATTCAAGTCGTTAGTAATTTTAAACCAATCAGATTAGTCTAAAACTGTCAATAAATTATTACTGCCGAAAAATTTTTGCCGATGAAAAAATCAAATAGAACAGAATGCGATTCATTAATTTGATTATATTAGTATGGCCTTGGCGGTAGGGGCGCTTCGCAACGAAGACCTCCACGTTTTTGTAAGCAGTTACGGTATCGGAACCGTCAAGCACTCAGCACGCGTTAAATTGATCGCATCATCTGCTTAATTTGTAAACAGCTGACATGGCTGGATAATATTCAGGCTGGATATTATTCAGTGTCCGTTTAAGCTGGTGCTCTTCGAAAGTTGAACTATATTGTTTTATAAATTTTTGTAGCGCGCTTAGCTTGAAAACAAACTTATTATTATTTATTTTTTAAAATACAAATTTTGAAATAAAGAGCAAGTCAACTGCAAATTTTTCACAGAGGCGACACAACACAAACATGAAGAAAATAAGCCGAAATAAATAAAAAATAATGAAAAAAAAACAATGTTAATCAAAACTTTTGTACATTTCGATAAAATACAAATAGGGCCCAGCTAAAGCTGGAGGTACATATTTGTTATTTTTGAATTTGTCATTCTGATGCGACACGAACTGCGTAAAATTGGAAAATCAACCCACGAGAATATTCTAAATCAGCCCCTGGCTTGATCTTTAGTTAGATAGCAAAGTAATCTACTCAGCTCAGGGGCATCATAAACTTTTCTAAAAATTTTCTTTATGCAGGCTTTCAACAAGCTGTTGTTTTGATTCAACAAACCTATGATATCAGATATGATATCAGACACTTCCGAGAATCATAGTTTTATTATTGTTATTATTATTTGCTGTTTTTGCAGAAGAGAATCCCGCAACCTGTTTTTTCTTACTAAACCCAAAGGTAAATTTTGAATTTTCCGAGGGCCAAAACTTGTTGTGTCAAAGAAACTTGAGTATTTGCAAATAAAAATCTGACAACTTGTTCTTGTTCTTGTAATGAACTCAAAATCTCATAAATGGGATTGTAATTTTCTAGATAACTCAAAGAAATCGTAAAAAAAATCGAAAATTTGACGATACAGATGGCCATAACTTTTTAGCAGAAAAATTTGATTGTAGCCAATTATGCAAGCAAGTTTTTCAAATTTGTTTTAATCATTGAAAGAAAAAATCCAATTTTGTGAGGGTAGATTTTGAGAAAACAAAAAAATCAAAAATATGGGTCAAATTTTCCCGCCACAGTCTTTTTTTTCAAGGCTGCAGACAGAGCAGTAAAGCGAAAAGAGACAAAGGTACTATGCAGGCACAGAGGTGAACAGGCACTAAAAGTCTAGGCAACCATGCCAACAGGACATTTGAATTTTAAATTAGCAGCAAATGAATTTACACAGCGTGAACAAAGCGGACGATCTTTGAACAGACACCAGTTGAGCCGAAAAAAATGCTTTCATATATTCCCCCCTGAAATAACATCGAACAACATTTGCAACTACCATGATACTCCGTTAAAACCGACGAAAAAGTCCTTGATGTGCCGAGGTTCGAACGCCAGACCATAAGGCAAAAGCACCGGAGCTGGTCTAACAAATCTAGGTCCCTATTACAAGCACTTGTTTTTACAACTGTAAGTATAAGCTGTATGGGTAAAATGATAACGAGCAACTGTTGACGCCATTTTTTATACCAGCTGAAGCATAGTGATTATTTAAGAAAGCAATTTTTATACAAGTCCGCACTTATATTCATGGCGTATTTTGCCTGTGATTAGTTTTTGCACAAACTGGAGGGATTTGACAACCGATACTTGACCTATTTTGGACTAACGACCGCTGTATTGCGCTCTATAAAGCGTAAGCGGCAATTAATAAATTAAGGTAAGGGAAGATTAATTTTTTTGCTACTTAAGTAAATTGGTCGTCACGCCTAAAGAGTAAGTCAGAACATTCAGTTCTCTCCTATGCTACACGCAGTCTTTTTGATTTGACTAAAATTTACCGATCAACGAGCTCTGACTTGAGCTCTCAACGAAAAAAAATAACTGAAAAAAATATCGACTGAGAATTCCATTAGCAACTAATTGTTGCTCTGACGTTCAAAGAAAGTGCGGAATATTTTCCAAAACTATTTAGATTTGAATTTGACGATTCGACGACTCTAATCTAAATTGGGATAAATAATGTGCGCTAGTTTGCAATCTATTCAGGGGCGGATCTAGGAGTTTCTCAAGGGGGCGGATTTTCAAAAGTTTTCAAAAGTTTTGTCGACCTTTTTTAAGTGTCCACCAAAATTATTTTTTTGAGCTATTCCAAAGCACTCTAAAGACCGTATGGAGTCAGAACCTATTTTGAAGACCCTAAAGAACCTATTTTGGAAAAACAGGCCAAAAAAATTTTTAGGAATTTTTGGAAAACTTCAACCAAAAAATTGCGTATTTTCGGCACGCGCTCCCCATCAAAAAAGTATAATGGCGCCGAAGGCGCCTTTAGAAAATTATAGGGCCAGTCAGCCACACATGAATATCTCAAAATAGTACAAAGAGGGGAATCTTTGGGTCGGCATAGGATCAAATCCATGGGGGGGGGGGGGGGTGTGAGCGCCTGCTCCTGCGCCTGCGCCTGCGCCTGCGCCTGCGCCTGCGCCTGCGCCTGCGCCTGCGCCTCTAGCCCCCGCCCCTTCTAAGCCCGCCCTTGGTTTTATTTGTTCTATTTAAGCGTGAGCGGCGCTTTAATCAGGCTCAGAAATGGTTGCAATTTGATTTAAGGCAAGCTATGTGAAACTTTTAACACGTTGCTAGACGCTTATTACATCAGATTGTACTTTGCACAGCCTGTGGAAAAGCATGTTTCAAAAAAATCTTTTTAAAAATCAAAACGAGCAGTCTTTTTCCCAATGTAAGAAAAATTTTCAGACTGTATATGCTCGGGGAGATATTTTTCGGTGATTGAGACAAATGGTTTTTCAGCGAGAAACTTCATAGCAAAATGATTAAAAAGATGCCAGCAACTCACAATCAAACACATTCATCCAATATATATATATATATTTGTAAAATGATGCGGTTTAAAAAAATTTCGAATTGAGAAAGAAATTTTCACTGAGTTTATAACTGTTTATAAAATTGTTTCCCAGTGAGATTATTGGGTTAAAAAGTTTAGACATTTTTAATCGAATTATTTGAGCTCCCCAAGACCCATTTCAAGCCAAGAAAAATTTTAGAATAATTGTGAAAGTAGAAATCTCATGCATCAACTTCTGGATAAACCGCAAAATCTCAACTTATACTTTTGGACCAACTTAAACTTTTGGATTTGGTAAAAGTACAACTATGAGAGTTGAGTCGAGTACTTTTTTTATATTAAGGTCCGTCTAAGTTCTCATGCTTTTCTACTGTTACAAGATCATTTGATTGACTGGCACCATGTGTATTTCGCATGTAATAATTTGAAAATTAAGTTGTGTATAATTTTTTAAATGGAAAAAACTCGCATAATGTGTTTTAGAAAATATCCAGATGAAAAATTGAAAATGAAATAAGATTTATATCCAGCAAAGAAATTGTTTCAACTTAGTGCACGCTTTACAATCATAATTGAGATTTGTAAAAAAAAAAACCCAACTTTGACAATTTGTTTAAAATTTTCACCTTAAAATGGTGTGCGGAGAGGTAATAAGAGTTGAGGAAACCAGAAAATATTTCGAAAATTAAAACATACTGAGACAATTTTCTGAATGGAGAATTTTTATTTATTAAACAATAAGATTGCTCTAAGTGTCTCAGCCTCAAGCGACCTGTCAAAGGACCGGCCTATCATAGTATCCAGGGGCACATTTAAAGGGAGGAGCGGACGGCTCCTTCCCGTCACTAATTGGACCCACTCAACAACGAAATGACATTCATGACATCCATTTTTGTTTCGTGACAATCATTTTTGCTCAAACAACCTAAATTTTCCTAAAAACGCTTTTGACGCCGTAGAAAATTAATAAGATAGGATCTATTCCACTATTTCCTAAAATCTCAGATAGGAGATACTT